GAAACCGTCCAAGAATGAAAGGCCAACAGCCAATGGTTTCCTCCTTGATTTAAGCCTTGATTTAAGCTAAGTAATGAAAGCATAATAAAGCCTATTGATAACCCCCCCATTACAACCGGCCAAGAGCTAGATTCTTGGCATTATTTCAGCAACATTAACTAGCACGTAAGTTAATAATAGATAGTAAATGGCCTAGGATCCACACGCCCAAAATAGTCATGAAATGCGTCCAAAATGTGATGCTAGCCAACCGTGTACCAATCTTCAATCTTCCCATGAAATGCAGCATAGAATTTCACCCTTCTTTGTGAATGGGAAAAACCCAAGAGTCTCTAAGACTAAAGCAACAGGTTCATTAGATGTCCACTTTGGATCAGATTATAATTGTTATAATTTATGATCATGATTATTTTAATGATTATTATTATGATTTATTATGTTGCTTGATATTCATTGTTATTGCTTGATCACACCTTTTATGCATGTTTAAAGGGAATTTATACTTGTAATCACGCTTAATAAGATAATTAATAATCTTGTTTAGGGTTAATTTGATTATAATTCAAGTGATCGCCAATAATAGATTTATTTGTGCATTAATATTCAACCAACATAGGTAAACAGGTTTAGGGTTAATCCTATTGATTGCATGTTAGTCAGAAAGCACACATGAATACGATCAGAATAAAGTAGAGGCCTATTATTAGGGCAGGTTCAATCTCTTTTAGGTTGGATTTGTACCTTCATCCCCGAACTACCAGTCATGGTTCAAGACCTATTGGAGTTAACGATCTCTTGGATCGTTAAGGGGTGTAACCTTCACCTCGTGAACGGTTTACAAGTTCCTAAAACTTGTTGGCGACTCTTTTGCTCTATCTTCTTTCCCTTTGGACGCCACCGTACTTTAGTGTATGATTACAGTGGGGTTCAAGCTAGGGGTAATACTTGAAATATTCCCTACACCTGCTTGTTGGATGATGTTTGAAGGAAATTTCCCTTGCAATTGTTCATACTAATATTATTGAGTTTGATTTGAAATGTGATAATTGTATGACATTCTTCAAGGTGAAGTAGTTTAATGGTGGATTGATTTCTTTTGTTGGTGAAATTTGGTTTGGTTTGTTACCTTGGTAATTATATGGTTTTCATGTCGCTTTATCACTCGATTTTTGTATATGATAAATCTTTGGAAGTGGTTTTGAACTTACTCATATGTTCACAATTTTCCTAAAATTTGTTATGGAGTAGTTCTTATGATACCATATGATACCTGATTAGGGGATTTTTATCCACCAATCACCGTCTGACAAGTGGACCAACCAGGTTCCGCCACGTGTCCTTCACGTAGGCCAATAGGAGCCTGCCACGTGTCAATCACAGATACGTCCTCTACGGACCAATTGAGACACGCCACGTGTCCACCCATGCCAAATGGGAAAACCGGCCAACAAGGCCCAATCCTTTTTAGAGGCCCGGTCAGCCCTAGGTTTACCCTAAACCTAGAGAGTGGCACGCTTCTCAAGACTATAAATACTTAATTAATCCTCATTAAAGGGGATCAAGCAATTAATCTCACCTGAAGAACGGAACAGAACAGAAACGTTACGGAACACACTAATAGCCGGCTGATCTCGCTAACAAAGCAGATTACCAACATTAAACACTCTCACCTAGAGGGACCTTATTACTTTAATTTCCGTATTAATTACTCCTTAATCAGGTACTAACTTGACCGTTGGAGGCGGAGCTCTCAGGAGTCTCCGTTATTTTGCAGGTACAGGCGTCCGGTTCCAGTCTCGGAATTGTAACTCTCCCGCAGGACATCAGAAAACCCCGAAACAATACCTAATTTGGGTAATTGATGTGAATTTAGCCAATAGATATTGTGAGATGAATTTTTGAAGTTGGACATTTGGTTGTTTGTAGGTGCTTGTTTTACAGAGGAAATTTGGATAAGTTGTATATTGTTGCTATAATCATGTCTCATCGATTAAGAGATTTGTTGCTGGGTTCTTCTTCCTGAAACTCACAAAAATCTTCTTCTTCCCAAGCACCATCCAAGTCTACTTCAAAGCCCAACCCTCCCCAACCATACACAGTTCAATTTGGTTCTCAATTCCAAAGCAAATAATACGATGAATTGTCTAAGCACCATGTTCGCTCCACAAGATTCTACGACAAATCCCGTTGTCAAACCTTAAGTTTTTACGTGGATATCCTAAACATGGTGGAATATTTGGGTTGGGATTCATTCCTCTCTATCACGGTCCCTTCGGCATTCACCAATACTCCCGAGGCCGAACCTAAGCCTCTTAGAACCAACCGCGAGCTTACATTGGAGTTCCTATCTTCTTTTCAACTCCAAACTACTGAGAGGTGGGGTGTAAAGGAGCTCAAGCTTCATTTTAGAATGTTCAAGAAGCAAAAGAAGGTCACTTTGAAGAAGTTAAGCAACATGTTTGGGTGGGATTTGAAGAGCCCCGTCCATAGGGTGAATGATAAAGCTTGGAAAGGGTATGGGGAGCAATAATGGTGGAACACCATCACCCAAGGGACTACAAAATTCCGCTCACACTTGGCAAAGGCGTCGGAAGTCATCCATCTGGCCCTTCTCTACTTTCATAGGATAATGGCGTATGATCTTTTCTCGCGACAAGAGCATAGAAACATGAATCAAGAGGAGCTCACTATTCTATGGTTGGCCACCGATGGATATCTCAACTATGATCACGAGGTCAATTTTGGTGCCATCCTTACCGATCGCTTCCATGAAACAAATTTGGGAACTTCTCTTACTAGGGACATTCAATGCGGCGGTATGATAACGTGGATAGCATATAAGTTCGGATTTAGAGAGGAGTTAGCTAAGCTAACTCAATTCAATGATCTCTCTTACTTGAACCTTTGCACTCTCTAGAAGGCCAGGATTATACATGAGGTTACTTGTCGTATTGATATAGATGCGCGGATTTGGATGGTCCGCGAGGTATCATGGTGCACACTACCTAACCCTTTCATCTCCAACGAGCAGCCAGAGGGCGTGAATCAATGGCAAGGTCCCCGCTCTAACATTAGTGAGCTCCATTTGTTTTTAAGGGAGCAAGATCCCTAACATTCCTGTCGACAGCATCAGCAACAACAACAACATCAACAACAACAACAACAACAACAACAACATCAACAAGATCACCATCAACAACATTTTGAACATCGACAATTTCAATTTGGGGAAGGATCCCGATCTTTGCATATCCCCTCCTTTAGTGTGGAAGGTATGAATTCTTCCACTTCCCCTTTTAATATTGAAACTGCATTTCAAAATCTTAGCTTGCAAGTAAGCCGCTTGGCGGAGGCCGTCGATGGTTACGGGGTTTACAATGCCAATATTTATGATTGGCATGTAAACCAAGGGCATTTCGACCCTCCCGTGAACTATCCCTATTATCCGCCCCAACAAGGGCCGGTTCCTTCTTATGAGGAACCGCATATCGACGGGACTCCACGTCAACTGGCTTGGCCTTATTGGCTAGGGCCATCTTCTCAAGGTGGCCCTCGTGTGGATTACCCCACCTCGGAGGGGTATGACTATCGGGCACCGGGCGGTTGTGATTATCGTGAGGACAACAATTACCCCATGTACACCCCGGAGCCCATAGTGATGCCCCCTCGTTTTGACCCTCTTACGGATTGGCAACAAGAGCTATATCGGAACCGAGATTTCCACTTGGTTATACTGTTGGATGGGATCCCCATGGCCCTCCTATCGACGTGGACTACGAATGTCGTCCGAGTGGAAAAGGATCTAGCTCCCATATGGAGGACTAGAGCCTTCAGGCTTTTTTTTTTCCCTCCCCTCTCCCTTTTTTTACCCATTTTGTTCCAACCGAGGACAATTTTCTATTCAAGTGGGGGGGTGTTCCATTATTGTTTTATTATGAGGGCATGTTTAATGGGGTATATTCATTACCAATGAGCGCTTATTGCAATTTTTTCTCATCTTTGTTGATGTTCACTTCCTTTCTTTTTTCAAAAATCAATGTTTTGATGATGGTTTCATTATTTTGGCTCCCAAAGCGAAAAATCCAAATTCTGTTTTAATCCAAACCCTTTTTCTTTTCTTTGTTTCTCTTTAGTAGTTTCTTACTTTTTTTATTTATTTACTTTGATCTTTGTTACATAACTCTTGCTACTAACCAAATATTTTCCGAGTTATTTTGGATTATGTCATTTGTGTAGGGCTTATTGGTGCAATTGCTGGAGTGATATAAGCAATGGAGCTTCATTTGTTATGGAAATGTGATCTTATGCGCTTTTGGTTGACAAATTTCCTTCTTAACTCTTTCAATATTTGGATTGGTTGTTTAGTTTAGGTTAATGTAGGTTGGAGTTGATTGTTCGAGGTTATATACATTTGATTCTACGGAATCTGGTGATCATTGGTATGATGCCAAACGATCTTTGTTTGTCGATTGGGAATTAAATGTTTACTTGCCCCCTATGCTTTTATTCTCCTTCCTTTTTGAAAAAAAAAGACGATTTTATTATTTCAAGACAAACCATGAAAACCTTATTTGTTTCATCTTCATTTTGAGCATAATAAAAGATAACTTGTGTGATTGAATGTCTTTTTTTATTAAGTGTTAAAATTTTGCATGCTTCGGGGTTGTCATCGTTTGACATTAGGATAGGTCATGCTAAGGTAGCCGGTCTAGAACTTGTAAGGCCCATCGAACCCAATTTCCACTACTACCAATTTGGCCAAAGAGACCCAAATTAAGAGACAGGTTAAGTGCATAACAGGTCTCTTATAGAGGAGAGACCAATTATCTTGAAAGACAAGTCTCTCGAAATATCAAAGAGACCCGTCATTTAAGAAAACATGTCTCTTGGAATTTTTTTTAAAAAATTGAGAAAAATAGAGAGACCCGTCATTTTAGATGACAGGTTTCACGTAATATCCAAGAAACCGATCAATTATAATAATCGGTCTCTTGAATGTTGTTTTTTTTTAATCTGAGAAATTAGAGAGACCCGTTATTCTATGTAATAGGTCTCTCGAATTAATTCTCCCATATATGTAGGTAGCCATATTCCCATTAATTAAGTCCCAAACCCTAGAACCTTTTCATTTTCTCTTGTCCTCCGCCGCTCTTCATCACTCTCATTTCATTTCTAGTTTTCTTTCTCTCTCTTCTCCCTCCTCACATCTCGATCTATCTTCCTCACTCCTCAACTCATTTTTTTCTGTTTCTCAAGCGAATCTCGCTCCAAATATAAAAAATAATTACTTCATTCACTTCTTTCTCAATCTGAAGAAGTTATCTTCACTCTATAGTTTCAAAATTTCAAGATCTTTGGCCATGGTGAGTTTTGTTTTTCGGTTTTTCTTAATGAAAAATCTAAATTTCTTAGAATTATTGCTTTTTTCAACATCTTTTTTATTGTTAAAAAACAATAATTTGTCCGATTTTCCGTTTAGCTATGATAGTAGATTGTTTGTTTACTTGTTAATGTTTTCGTTTCAATTGCTATTTTTGCCATTTTATTATGTATTTTCATTTAAAAACACCTTTCACAGTCAGCTCTAGTAATTGTCGTCTTTATTAATTTCGTATTTGATTTTGTATTTCTGTTTCCATTTGATTTTTTTTTATCCCTTTGAGAATTTCTTGACGAATTGTTCTTTAAGTTGTCTTTGAAATTAGTATATTTTTTCTTGCTTTGATTTTGCATGTGTTCATTGTCATTTAAATCGAATTTTACTTTAGATCTCGTATTTCATTAGTTAAATTGAACAATTTCTCATATATTTTTTTTTATTGTAAATGAATTTTATTTTATATCTCGTTTTTAAAATTTTTGTTTTTTTCTTTTTCAATCTGTCATTTTTATGATTTATTTTCGGATAATAATATTTGCTTTGTGAATTTTAACATGTTTATATTTGTGGTTGTAGGTAACGATCTCTCAAGTTTCAAGTTTGTACCGAAGAAATTCGTAATTGAAGATCTGGGAAGTTTAGTCATCATTTTCGGATTTTTTTTTATGTATTGAATTTTCATTCATATCTGTATTATGTACATAATTTTTGAGGTATATGAAATACAAGAATTATTTTTTTACTTCTGGTTTTATAGTGGCGAAATAAATAAAATTAAATAAGTTATTATTGATGTTAATATCGATGAATTGTAATTATAAAGAAACCTTTTTTTATTTAAAATGAGACCAAAGAGCCCCGTGAAGTTAAAAAGCGGTCTCACTTTTCTCAAAAAAGAGACTACTTATTTAAATATGGGGTCTCAATTTTCTGAAAATAGAGACTGCTTTTCTTATAAAGGCAGTCTCAATTTCCTAAAAATTGACACCGCTTATATTTAAGAGGCGGTCTTAGCTTTCTCATTCTAGAGACCGCCTCTAATAAAGCAGTATCTTTACCAAAGAGACCTCTGCGCTAGAGACTGCCTCTAAGGCAGTCTCTTTGGCTATTTTGGACGGGTCTCTTTGGCCAATTTTGTAGTAGTGTTCACTTGTTTGTGGTAAGCAGGTGTTTCTCTCATTTGGGGAATTGAAGCTCTAGAGGTAGTTTTTGTAACCTGATGTGAGTTTCATTGTTAAATCCTCCAACATTTCTTTGCATGAGTGGCGTAGGATCCTTACCAAGGCATGTTTGAATCTAGAAAATGGCGTCTAACTCCCAAGTTCGCGACCAAACTTACTCATGGATGATAAAGAACATTCTTTCATTCGATGACTATATTGTTTTCTAGGTTTAGATTTTATCTTATTGTATTTTTGGTTGCATTTGTCTCCTTTGCTTCCCATGTTGAGCCTTTCCCCTCCTTGATTTTAGCACATTATAAGCTCATGGCATTTTATTTACTTTCACCCTTAGGATCGTGAAATTCAATCCTCGAAAGCTTATAGATGTTTTTATTGAAAATGTGGAGGGTAGTGGTTCTTAATGGAAAGTGAGATTGTGATGTTGTGAATATTTGTTCAATAAAAGCAAATGCAAATCCTAGAAAAAGTCGTCCACAATTATAAAAGGTAAGGACTTTGAAAAAAAGAAGTAGAATGGAAATTTTGAAAAATGAAAATAGAGAATAAAGAGTTGTGAATGATGATGAAAGGAAAAGATGAAGGTTCAAAATTTTTGGCAATGTGATTCAAAGTTGTGGCAATATAGTTTGAAGATTGGTAGAGGTATAATTTTGAAAAAGAGGCTTGATCACCCTTCGTATCAAGATTAGGCTAAGTACCATTTCCAAAATTTTCCACACCCTTACCCAGCTAACGCTACAACCCTTTCAATGTTCTTTTGACTTAGGTTGGTTGAGTCTCTAGTCGGTGGCGGGAGGGAAATTTCAAGTATAGTGAAAGGCATGACTTGGTAAGATGTCGGGTTCCCCCCCCCCTTTATATTGTTTTGATTTTTGTTTCGGCTCCTTTGAGGAGTCATGAGATGCTACCTCCGAGGGTGGATTTGAATCAAGATGAGGGAACGCAGTAAGAATGTATGGGATGCGGGGGGAGTGGCGCATGTTAGAGTTTTCTATGCTTAGCATGGTTTATCCTTCAATCAACCATTATACCGCACCTAAAACCACCATCATGATAGATTGACCACTTATACAATGGCTTCTCTGCCAACCATTCACGTGCTTCCAAGCTCAATTCACAAATCCTGTTAAAGTAGTGTATGAACTTATTCTCTTAATGTGCATCCGCGGCACGACCAAGTAGGTTTTTAAAGTGAGCATTCTTAAATTTGGACTCGAAATTTGAGGCTAGATGACGAATACAAAACCTGTGATGAGCATGTGGTTCTTCCCATCCAGTGCCCACAACGGTCATTGTTTTCAAAATCGAGGCATACCTATTTAAAATACACAAAGACCCTCTTGTTGAGTAATAAATTGTCGTATACATAACATGAAACATTCCCATGCGTCACGTGTCTCACCTTCAACAACGGCAAAAGCAAAAGGAAACAACTAAAAATTAGCATTTGTGGCCATGGCAATGAGAAGGGTCCCCTTGTATTATCCATAAAGATGGGTGCCATCAATGGTAATAACTAGCCGAAAATGATTAAAGCCATCAATAGGTGGCTTTAAAGCCCAAAAAAACTCTCTAGAACACATGAGTAAAAGTTTCTAATGTTGGTGTCATACACTAATGTACCCTCATTTGACTATTTAAAGCTTGCATAAATTTGGGTAACTCTTCATATGATTTATCCCAATCCCTAAAAATAGTAGTAATTGCCTTCTACTTGGCTAACCAAGCCCTCTTGTATGTTATGGTATATAGAAATCGATCTTTAATAACTTTTAAAGAAGGGTCGGCTCGTATAAAATCAAGTATAACACCACAAGCAAAATCACAAGACAAAAGGGGATGGTGAAGATTATTAATTTTACCTACACATGTGCTTGCATGAGGTCTTTCATACTTCACAATTCTAAATGTGGGAAGGGATGGTAACTTGATTGCACACAACCTCCAAGGACATTTGCTCTTTTCCTTTCTTATGCACTCAACAACATATTTTTCAGGCTACACTACCTTCACTTGAAAAGTTTGATTTTTGGCTATAGAATACTGTTTAACAGCTTCTTTTAACATCTGCAAAGTATCAAACTCTTGACCAACTTTAAACTCAACCCGAAGAGAAAATTTGTTATTCCCCATCCAAGTTCTCCAAGAATCACTAGTTGAAAAAACACTATTAGACACTGACAAAAAGTGACTTTTAGCAACTGCCATGTAGGGCTGCTATTGCGGGGGCTGCTAATGCTTATATTATTAGCAAAAGGCATTTGCCAGTTGCAAATAAGTACTATTAGCAGCTGGCCTAGTTCTATGCCAGCTGCGAAATAGTACTTATTTGCAACTGGCGTAGAACTAGGCCAGCTGCTATCAGTTTATTTGCAGCTGGCATAGAACTAGGCCAGCTGCTAATAGTCCATTTTTTTAATAAAAAATATTCTATTTGCAATTGGCTAAAGACTACACCAGTTGCGAATAATCATTTCTCTAAATAAAAAAATGAAATTTTTCCAAATTAATATAAAAGCTATATTATATACTATTATATCAAAATCTATGTTAATTGTGCAATATACATTAAATACAAACAAAAACATAAATTACAAGGCTTATAAAGAAACACAACAAAAGCATCCAAGAACGGCATTTATGAGTAGCAATGAGCAGCAACACTGCCAACACAAACGTCTCAAATCGACTAAATTAGCCATGCATTTTCCTTCAAAAAAAAACAATAAATAAAATATTAGAAATTCATCTAAATATTATTAAAAATCAGCAAAAAAAAAAAAAAAAAAAAAAAAAAAAAAAAAAAAAAACCGATTTTAACGAGAAACCATTTAGATACTTGAGTTTCCGGTTTTAACGAGGGAACCATATTTTTTTCATACTCGTATTAGTCCTAATTAAAGCATAACCCTTTGACACTTTTGACATAAAAGTTGATACAAGTTCAGAACCTGAAACGTTGCCATGGTGTTCAAAAATGTTATCACCGCTGACAACACCTTGTGCTATGACAAGTCTACTACAATATATAATAAATCGAAATATAAAGATTAAAAAATATGCAAGTGTATACGATGTGTCTCATGCGTGAAAGGTATGCTATTGGTAATGAATACTAGTTCTGCAAAGATGACAAGCATTGCATGGAAAATAAAATAAGAAAAGAAAAAAAATACATGTAAAAAATGTACGATGGAAAAATTAATAATAAAGGAGAAAGAGAGCTACTGAACCCCACCCCCACAAACTGAAAATATCCAAATCTATTCACATTGTTTCAATATGTAATCAAATTCAATCCCTCAATATTCAATGTCCTTATCCTGTTGCAGGTTCAAATGTATGCTACATTTTCATTTAGCTTCAGGTGATCAATATCGTTTGCCATTTGAAGATGTGAGCCCACAATTTAAGTTATCAAGTATCAAATTGTAGTTCATTCATGAACAACCAAATATAGATATGCAATTATGTTACGATCTCTTATAAAATTCAAGTTGATTAGGGGATTTTTCTCCCACCAATCGGAATGCGCCACGTGGGCCAATCAGGTCCTGCCAAGTGTCCCCCAGTTGGAACTGTCAAGGCTTGCCACGTGGCACGCGCTTATTCGTCCACCTTGGACCTGTTATGTCATGACATGTGGCATACTCCATGCCTAATGGAGAAACCGGCCACCCAGGCCCAACTTCCGAGGGAAGCCCAATCGGCCCTAGGTTAACCTAAACCTAGGATGGGCACGTTTCCCAAGGTTATAAATACCTCCCTTAATCCTCATTAAGGGGGATTACGAAAAACATAACGAAAAAACACATTAATTACACACAGTAATAACCGGCTGATCTCGCTAACAAAGCAGATTACCTACATTAAACACTCTCACCTAGAGAGACCCAATCACTTTAATTTCCGCATTAATTACTCCTTAATAAAGTACTAACTTGACCGTTGGAGGCGGAGCTCCCAGGAGTCCCCGTTATTTTGCAGGTACAGGCGTCCGGTTCCAGTCTCGGAATTGTAACTCTCCCGCAGGACATCAGAAAACCCCGAAACATTTGGCGCCGTCTGTGGGGAGAGTACTTCTGAGATGGCATCCAAGTCTGTACCGACTCCTGAAGAGAGGCGTCCCCTAGACGACCCTCAAGTTCAGTCGGACCATGATACCGAGAGTGAATTTGAAGTTGAAGCTCACACAGCTTCAGACGGGACCCTAAGGGCCCGGCGTACCCGTCATACCGAAAGGAGGGAACGGGAACATCTTCAAACTGGAAGTGAGCCAGCAGGCGCACCGCCTGTTCGGCAGCAGCCGACTGATGGGTCTGCTCCCATCACAAGGAACGAACTCATGACCTTCATGAGGGACTTCAAGGGAGAGATTCAAGAGTTGATCAACAAGAAGCCGCCTGCTCCAGTCAAGGAGCAGTCGGCTAAGAAACCCTCCACTTCACTGAAGAGGAAGCCAGTTCAAGGGCGAGATGCGACTCCTCATCCTAAATCTAGGAAGCGGGAGCCACCTGCCCTTGATTTCACAAAATTCCGTTTTCCTACAGGAAATAGGAAACCTGTTCGTCATATTCAGGCGGACGGGTCGAAGCAGACATTCACAGACGCTCGGCTACTGCTAGAGCAGAAGAAGAGTGGCCGATTATCAGAGTCGGCCTCTACTTCAAACTTTCAAGACAGTATGCGAAATGCCTCGATGAGGCATACTCAGTCGTATCGTGAGAGTCAGTCAGGCGGTACCTCCCGTCAGTCCGGCTTTCATAGCGACCAGGCGGTACCAAACTTACCATTTGTGCCGCAACAACAGTATTTTTTGCAGCCACCTCCGTTTGGTGGACCTGCAGCAAAAAACGTCCAACCTATGGACTGGCAGCTACGGTTGCTTAGACTTGGTGAACAGCCGTCGGCCTTCTCCAAGGAAATTACTGAAGCCGCTTAGCCGGCCAAAGTGAAAAATGTACTAGTAGGCGCCTATGACGGCACTACTAACCCAGAAGACCATCTGATGGCATTCACCAACCTGATGTACCTTCAAGGGTTGGATGATCCCACTTGGTGCAAGTGTTTCCCAGCGACTCTCAAAGGAATCGCACAACAATGGTTCGGCAACCTGCCGACTGGTTGTGTAAATAGCTTCAGGACGCTTGCTTACTTATTCACCTCCAACTTCGCCATGAACATCCCTGCGAAGAAAACGACCCTTGATTTAGGAACAATTCAGCAGGGCGAGAAGGAGGGGCTTCGTTCTTACATCAGGCGGTTTACAGATTCAAGGGTTACCGGATGAGGTAGCCTATACTGACTTTTTCAGAGGTCTCAAAGACGGGTCTACCTTCAAATTTGATTTGGTTCGAAAGAAGGTGGCGACTCTTCAAGAGGCCTTGATTAAAGCAGAAGCCTATATACAGGCGACTGATCTTTGCACGGTAAAACAGTTGGACGGGAAAAGGTTCGACAAAAGAGAAGGACGACAGAAACAGTCGTCAAACAAAGATGAGAAGAGAAAAGAGGTCAGGGCGGCTGATTCCTCTAAACAGCCGGCCCAAAAAAAGAAAAAAGAATTCAAACCATACTCCCCAAAGTATGCGTTTAACAAGGATAACCAGTTTATCCTAAAAGAAATCAAGGGACGGATCTCAATTGAGAAGCCGGTCCCCATGAAGGGTTCTGCAAACAACCGGAACCAAGATAAATTCTGTGCTTATCATGATGATGTTGGTCATCACACCAATGACTGCATCAGTCTCATGCGGTATCTGGACCGCCTGGCTGAGCAAGGTGATCTGGACACTTATGTCAAGAAATCTACGGGGAACACTTCCTCAAAAAAGCAGTCGGCCAAAAAGAATCAACAGGCCGACAGCTCCGATACAGATGATGCAGTCGTCTACACCATTGCAGGCGGCTTCTCAGGAGGCGGCCCCACTATTAGGGGCAAGAAAGACAATATCAGGCGGTTAGATGTAAATTCCGTTCACCAAGAACGGCCGTCCAAATATTCATTTCCTGAGATTGTCATCACTGAAGAAGATCTAGGAGGGGTAAGGGGGCCGCATGACGACCCTATCGTTATTGAATGTAAAGTGGTCAACCAGAGAGTTGGCCGAATCCTCATAGATACCGGAAGCTCCTCAGATCTCATCAGTAGCAAATGTCTGTCGAAGCTAAAATATCAGACTGATTGCATACATCCGGCCTCCCACCCTTTAGTAGGGTTTGGAGGAGGAGTCGTCCACCCACTGGGACGAGTGGATTTACCCATCCGCCTAGGCGAAAAAGGGGAAGGACGACACATGGTAGTCCGGTTCCTGGTAGTAGAGGAACTCTCGGCCTACAACATGATTCTGGGTCGACCAACCCTGAATAATTCCAAGGCTGTTATAATCCCATCTCTTATGTTGCTCAAGTTTGAGAGGGATAATGGAATAGTCGGCTCCCTACGGGGAGATCAGAGGATGGCCCGAGAGTGCTATCTCTCGGATATCAAGCCCACTGTTATGGCCACTGGGTCAAGCGGTAAAAAAACAGACTTTGACAATGTCAAGGAGAGTGCGCCTGTTCAAGAAGCAGGCGGCAAGAAAAGAAAGGCATCCCAGACAGGGGCCGCAAGAAAAGAAAGAAAATAGCAATCATTGGCAGAGGAGCGGTCGGATGAGTTCCGCCCTCAGCCGGCTGGTGAGCATACGGACCTGATCTTAGACGACTCACATCCTGACCGAACAGTCAAAGTTGGGACGACTGCTTTGAGAGACCTTGGTGACGATTTTCACAAACTACTGAAAGAATACAAGGACATCTTTGCATTCGAAGTCCATGAAATGCCAGGCATTAGTCCTGACCTGGCGGTACATAAACTGGCTGTGGATCCAAAAAAGAAGCCGGTACGGCAGAAGAAACGGAACCATGGCGAAGAAAGAAGTCAGGCGGCAACCGCCGAGGTTAAAAAATTACTTGACGCAGGGTTCATTCGGCAATGTTACTTCCCAGACTGGGTTGCAAATGTGGTGCTTGTTAAAAAGCCGAATGGCACCTGGCGAATGTGTGTAGACTACACAGACTTAAACAAGGCGTGCCCCAAAGACAGTTACCCTCTGCCTAAAATTGATAACTTGGTCGACTCAACAGCCGGCCATGCTTTGATGAGCTTTATGGACGCCTATTCTGGTTTCCATCAAATTCCTTTATGGAAGAAAGATCAGGAGAAGACGGCCTTCGTCACTGATCAGGGGTTATTCTGTTACACGGTCATGCCGTTTGGTCTTAAGAATGCCCCGGCTACCTTCCAGCGAATGATAAACACTGTGTTCTTTGATCAGATTGGGAGAAACGTCGAGGCATACATTGATGATATGATTGTCAAGACTAAACTTCAGAAATATCATCTGTCGGACCTCCGAGAAACTTTCGCCACACTCAGGCGGCACCATGTCATGCTCAATCCCAAGAAATGTGTATTTGGGGTTGAGTCTGGGAAATTTCTCGGATTCCTTATCAATCAGAGAGGAATAGAGGCGAACCCTGAGAAGGTGCAGGCGGTCATTGACATGCAGTCGCCTCGTACCATCCGAGAGGTTCAGAAGTTAACAGGTTGTCTGGCGGCCTTGGGAAGATTTCTAAGCCGATCAGGCGACAAATGCCTATACTTCTTCCAGGCAATTAAGAAAAAGGCAAGGTTTGAATGGGGGCCGGATGCTGAGGCCGCCTTCC